GTTATGCGTGTGACTGGCTGAGCTCAAGTAAGTTTTCCCCAAGATACCCTTACTTGTTATGTTATGTATATGTTTTATGATTATGAGAACTGCATGCTAGATTAGGGCTAAGGATCTTGGAGGATGCCTTGTATGCCTGATATATGATTCTAAGGACTGCATGCTAGAGTAGGGCTAAGGATCTTGGAGGATGCCTTGAATGCTTGTTGTATGAACTGTATGCTGGGCCGTTTAGCCAACGGTAGGATAGCCTGATTAGGTTATGCCTGATGTGGTTACTCAATGCACAAGTGCTGCTTGCTTTGTGCTTAAGGGGTCCTGGCTAACTTTAACTAACTAGTGAGCATATATGTAACAATATTTGCAAGCTAGTTAGGGAAGGGAAGTAGGGACTCCTAGTGCGGCTGATGGTGGAGAGTAGGTCGGAGGGTGCCCTAGGAAAGCCTAGGAAGAGATTAGTGGGAAAGGGTATTGGTAAAGGGACTTGGCGATGTTAAAAAAATCCTTGAGGAAAGTACAGATAGATGTGGAAGGTAGTATGGGGCCATACTACTGGAAGTAGAGGATCCGTACTCGAGTTAAAGAGGGCCTGGAACTAGGGAACTTGGAAAGTGTGTGAGACCTCTCAAGAGTAGGTATGATCCTGACATTTATGTGTTTATTTGCAGTATGGTGATCACACGACATGGAGCGGGAGGTTCAGGATTAGGATCAGGATCAGGCTCGGGTGCAGGATCCTAGCAGGTTGATGACGAGCTACGTGAGTTCATCGCGTCTGAGATCACGAGAGGTATCCTTGAGTTGACCCTGGTTATTTTTGGGTCGATCAAGGAAAGGATTGTTGAGTTGATGGAGGATCTCCTCCAAGCTTTCAGGAGTGACTTGGCGTCCAGCCAGTCGGGTACGTACACACTGTCCTTTAAGGACTTCAGAGGGAATGGTGTGCTGGATTTTCACAGAGTGAAGGACCCCATTGTTGCCATGGGATGGATCGAAAATATAGAATGTGTGCAGTTGACGAGCTTCTGCCCGGAAGGGTGGAAGGTCCGCTTTGCTGTGGGGTGTCTGAGGGATAGAGCTAGAGACTAGAGGGAGTCGGTTGGTGACTCATTGGGTGCCCCAGCCGTCGAGGCTATGACGTGGTCAAATTTTGTGACCAGATTCAGGGCTGATTTTGCACCGACTGTAGAGCTTCACCAGCTGGACATGAATTTTTGGATATGAGGCGGACGACTGAGACAGTGGCGGAGATCACCGCCATGTTCAGGGAGAGGGCCTTGTTGGTACCCTAGTATGTGGGAGATGAGGAGATGCAGAAGACTCGCTACAATTATATGTTGAGGGATGATATTCAGGAGCACGTCAGCTAATCAGCCTGCCCGGCCCTACAGTCCATGATTGCCAGGGAGAGGGAGAGAGAGCTCGATTTGGAGCATGTTAGGTGTAACATCTCGTTTATTGAAATAAATTAATAAATTTAAGTCCGGGATGATTTGTGAAGAATATTAGAAGTCGAGGGTTAAAAGTGTATGTTTGGGACTTAAATTGAAAAGATTGAAGGCTTAAGGGCTTATTAGTAATTTAGGGATCTATTATGAAGGATATTTTTGTAGAGTAGGGGTCCATTTGTAAATTTCATACTTTAATTGTAAAAAATTTCAGAAGATAGGGTTAAAAAGGTACGTATGTGTTTTATTTTGGAAAGGATATCATGGGGAGGGACTAGAATGGTTAAATGTGCAAAGTTGGAGCATGGACATGGGTCAAATGCCATCACCCTCCCTTACTCCATGTATATGTGCATCTTAAATCACTCAAAACCCTAACCCTACGGGATATGCCTCCAGCCGCCACCCCTCCTACTGTCTTATCTGCAGTCATATGAGGTCGCCGCCCCGCCATGGAACTGCCACCATCAAGATGAGCTGCCGGCAACAACGTGAGTCACCGAGAGTCCGTCGAAGACCAGGAAGAAACCGTCAGTCGCTGTTGTCGATGTTCTCGTGTCAGGGGAACGTCTCCATTGCGACGCTAGCTACCGGAGGTGCTGGCTGCCATTATTCCATCGATGTACAAGTAATGGGCTGCCAAGAAACCTTCAATCGATTCTTCTCTTTTTTCCCTCTCGTTCCTTTTGTTGGGTTGACGTTATGTATGGCGGCTGTGGTTACCGGTGGGTCGTGAACCAGTGTTTCAGATTTCTCCGGCGATAGCAGCCTCCTAGTCAGCTGTTTAGAGCTTGGTTCTTGGGACATTTCATGTGTATGATGCAACCACGACATGCCGCCGCCATCACTTCCTGATGACGTTGATGTTGCTGTTTCCGTCGAAGTTGGCTCGTTCCCGGACGTGGGACTGAATATTCTCGTGTGTGTAGTTGCTGCTTGACGAGGGAATGAGAGACTGAAGAGCTGTTGTCATTTTTGCTTCTATCGTCCCGACCACCGCCTTCCACCGCTGTGGGGTGGATGTTTATGTTTACTTCTTGCAGGTCTGTGTGTGTGTGTAATATGGTGTAGTTACGTGTGTGTAGTGGCATGATGTTGTAGAGACGATGCTAGACCGGAAAAGCCATGAAAAACCCCACCACCACCATGAGGTGGTGGCTGCCACCATGGGTGGGTGTAGTTTAGTGTGTGTGTGCAATTATTTTCTTAAGATATTCATTATAACTGTAACAAATTGGATTAATGAAAGAAAAACCAAAAACCACCACGTTAGGGTGGTGGCTGCCACCATTAGCCACCGTGTCGGGTGGCAGTGTGCCTTGTCTCGCTGTGTGATTCGTTTGGAGTGCTTGAAAACCTAATGGGCCCCAAAGAAGCCCCAATGGGCCTAATGAAGACTAACGAACTTAGTGAAAAACCTTAAAGGGCTTAATAATATTCTAGTAGACTTAATAGGCCCAATAAAACCGTAATTGATGCAAAGGTCCAACAAATTGATAAATGGGCTAGTACTTGGGTTGGGAAACCCTAATGCCAATAAAACGCCAATTTTGAGAATTAATCGGGGCGCACGTGGAAATTATTTAATAGTTTGAAGTATTAAATAATAATGAATTAAGTCCATAATGGGTTAAGTAAGAAACACTTAAACCTAGTTATCATTTTTTATGTGAAACCCTAATTTCACTTGGGCTTTGTGTTGGGCCATCCAAGAACAAGCAAATGTACTAGAATAATTTAATAGGCTTTAGGGTAAGGCCCATAGGAGGGTGTGGGCCCAATTTGGAAAATTGGGCCATAGATGGGCCATAGTTTGGGCCTAGATGGTTGTATGATATTGGGCCCCTAGAATGAGACATGTTGTACTAGACTAATCAATTGGGACTTAAGGGAAGTCCATGTAGAGGCTTGGGCCCAATTTGGAAAATTAGGCCATATGTTGGGCTTTAATCCCTAGTTGACTTTGTGCTTACGGATTGGGCATTGGGCTTGTTGTAATTACCCTAACTATGTATTTATAGTTATGTGTTAGAACACAATTATTAATTGCGTGTTATTTTGGTGTTGACAGTTCGGGAATCTGTCATCCAGCAGCTAAGGTTGAGTATGCGAGACTTTAGTAATGTTGGATTGTGTCTTTGGGACTTCAGCAGTGTGAGGTGAATTTCCTTCCAGTAGGAACGGGTCTATGGAAACAATGTCGGCCCGTTTAATTAGCAGTAGTTTCGGACTATAGTCCGATGCAGTAGTTCATTATGCTTGGTGTCTTTGTGATACAGATGAGTTATGTGTTCCGGACTATGGTCCGATGCAGTATGAAGTATACGTGTTTATATTATATGCAATGATTATGTTATGTTATGTTCAGTTAGTTCAGAACCTTGGTCCGATGCAGTAGTTAGAGTGCTTGATGTCTTTGTGATTCAAGAATGTTTTGTGTTATGTGTTCCAGACTCTGTTCCGATGCAATATGCAATATATGTATTCATGCTAGTAGATATGTTACGATATGCTATGTTCAGTTAGTTTTCGGACTTTGGTACGATGCAGGGGATGGGGTCCCAGTCAGTTCTGGACTTTGGTCAGATGCAGTCAGTTCCGGACCTCGGTCCGATGTAGGGGATGGGGTCCCAGTTAGTTCCGGAATTCGGTCCGATGCTGTTAGTTCCGGACTTCGGT